CTGCCACAAATTCCCCCAGCTGTAAGCCTTCCAACTTTTTAAATATTCCTTTATATGTAGTTCAGAGTTCTGGGACCATCCCCTGAGCCTGCTTGGTATTCTGTGTTGTTGTTGGCGGAGCTTCTTTACTGCACTTCCACCGGATCCATCTTGTTTGTTTCTCTCTCTGTGTATTCTTATACACACCTTTCGATGTTTGATATATGAGTCTGGGTAACCATACTTAGCTGAGTTTAGGTAGCAACATTTATAACCAGTAGATGAATGAATATGTAGTATTCAGGATTATCTGATCAGTGAAGGAAAACTCTCAGCTGTCTCTGCCCCTATTTATGGTTAACTTTGTCTACCTGTGTCATGTGACATGGCTACAGTCAAGTAATGAGATCCAGCTTTCACCTGGGAAAAGCCATCGTGAAGTGGCATTATCGTTTGGGTGTGATGCTGGTTTCAGTAGTCATGTTGCTAGTACGTAAACGGTTGGCAGAGAGAACCTGCTATAGACTGGAAGGTCAGCCCAGGAGCTTGGTGTAGAATTTCAGATTACAAGAATTGCATTTTCGATTCCAAGAAAGGTAGCAACAAGCCCAGCCAAGTCCAGCAGTGTAGGCATTAAACCTTTTCTAAAGTTCACAGGCTCAGTTCAGTATGGCCACCTTCTTGATAGATTTTCTATAATGTACATTTCCCATTTTGGTTCTTCAATTATTCTTTTCACAGCTAGATTCCCTCGCCATTCATTCAATACAGAGTGCTAGACATTGTATGGGTGCTGGAGGTGGGGCACAGAGATGAATCCATCTTTGTTCTTTCTCTTAAGGACCTCATGGTGGTGATGGTGGTGGTTGTGTGCCATCAAGTCAGTTCTGACTTGTAGTGACCCTATATGGGGTTTCTGAGGCTATAAATCTTTGTGGGGGAAGAAAGCCTCATCTTTCTCCTGTGAAGCGACCAGTAAATTTGAATTTCTGACTTGCGTTTAGCAACCTATCTCATAAACCACTACATTATGAGATCTCCTCTAAGGATGTCCTTGTTGTTGTTATGTGCCGTGAAGTCGGTTCCGACTCATAGTGACTCTGTACAGGATTTCCAAGGCTGTAAATCTTTACTGGAGCAGAAAGCCTCATCTTTCTCCCACGGGACAGCTGGTAGTTTCGAACTGCTGACCTTAAGATTCGCAGCCCGATTTGTAACCACTACGTTACCAAAACTCCTCTAAGGACCTAGTCTAGTGAAATTGATTGTTGTGATATTGTAAGTACAGCCTACAACAAAAGAATAGCAGAGATACACTGGTGAGTCAAAGCTGTGATCTGATTAGCCATGCTTGGGAAGTGAGGCTCCTCAGAGGAGGATGCACTTGAACAGGGTCTTGGAGGATGAATAAGTTCTTCAGGCTGATGAGCTAAAAAGGGCATGTCACACTGAGCAACAACATGCACAAAGGCCTGGAGAAAAGAAAGAATTGGACACTGTGAGGGAGTGATGAACAAAGAGACTGGAGAGGTAGGCAAGGTCATTGTAAGTCATGCTGAAAAATGCATATTTTACCTGAGAAGCTATTTATTGAAGGATTTTAAGCAGAGGGTGATATGGTCAATTTTGCAGTTTAATTACTCTGGTGTCAAAGTGGAAGATGGATTGGAGTTAATGATATTGTTGTTATGGTTGTTATGTGCTGTTGAGTTGGTTCTGACTCACAGTGTATAGGAGTAGCTGGTGTGGTTTGAACTGGCAACCTTGCAGTTCAAACTGACGGTGCAGTCCAATGCATTATCCTGTAGCACCACACCAGGATTCCTTAATAATATTGGTGGTGGTGATGGTGATATGCCGTGGAATCGGTTCTGACTCATAGTGACCCTGTACAGGGTTTCTGAGGCTATAAATCTTTATGGGAGCAGAAAGCCCCATCTTTCTCCTGTGGAACAGCTGGTAGTTTTGAACTGCGAGTTTGAGGTTCACAGCCCGATTCGTAACCACTACGCTACTGAAGCTTCTTAATGATAAGGGCCCGGGAATTAGTTCACAAAGGATCGTTACCCAAACTTGTTCTCCATACTGGGCACACACCATGCCATACACACAGTAGTATACCTACCTGAAAACCTTGTGCAGGAGAAGAATTTTCAACATCTTAAAAAAAATCAAGAAGTACTCTGAAAGTAATTTCTAACTACTCTACATGATTATTTTCTTCTCTAATAGACCCTAAGTTTCTTGAACTGAGACTGTGTTTTATTCAGCTCTGTACAACTCAGTATCTAGCAAAAAGTAGGTCAATAAATGTTAGGTGAATGATTGAAAGAATGAATAAATATTCAAAATGCAAGTATACCTGCCTGGAATATGTTTGGGCTTACCATCGGATCATAGTCTTTCAGAAAACTCCAGTTGTGAGTCCTGCAAAGAAAGTTGGCAGTTTGATTTCTCTACATGACACTTTAACAAATGCATTTACTGTGTCAAGTATACAAGTGGATGCCACTGGTGATGACATCACGTTTTTGTTGTTGTTTGTTTCTGTCAAGCTGATTCTGACTCCTGCTGACCCCATATACACGGAGTAGAATTGTGCTCCATAGAGTCTTCAAGACTGGGGACCTTTTTCCAAAGAGCCTCTGGGTGGGTTTGAACCACTAACGTACCAACTAGTGGTGGTGTTGTTGTTATTTGCCATCGAGTCCAGCTAGTAGTCGGGTGCTATCTGTTTATACCACCCAGGGACTCCTATAATTTCAAAGAGGAAGTGAAAGAATTTTTAAGTGAAACAAATGCCAAGACTCAACTAGGTATGATAACCTGGTGCTTCCCATAAAATGAGCAAGGGCTTCAAGAATCAATGACTTTTTCATACTGAACTACGTTGCCAGGTAGGTAGGGCAAACTATGTAAGGAAACCAGTGGGTACAACATCAAAATGGGCCCTGATGCATTTTAAGTAGCATTCTCAATGACTTTGTGAAGAAAAACTAGTTTTCACTTCTTCAAACCTTCAAAATCATTCTGTGTGTGTGTGTGTGACAGGAAGCTGGGGAAGGAGATAGGAAAAAGGAAAGGTGACAAAGAGAATGATACTTCCTGTATTGGTAGTTTAATTATTTGAATCCATTATTTTAAAAGTCAAACAATTCTGCTCCAGTCCTAATAGCCTTCTGAGCCCCATATCTGAAAGTCAAACTGTTTCTAGTCAGTTAACTATTTCTTCAGGTCTTTCACCTTTGTATTTTGAAATAACATGCCCGTCACGGCCATTTCTTGAATTCTAGAATGAAAACTTACCTACTGACTTTCTATTATGGGAGACGATGAGCTAGTATTCTTATCTCTTCCCTTCCCCTCATTCTATCAAAAGAATTACATTATAGATTTTGGTTAAGTCAATATTTTTGTTTATATCATTGTTGTTGTTGTTAAGTTGCTGTTAAGTACTGTCGAGTTGGTTCTGACTCATAGAGACCCTGTACAAGGTTTCTGAGGAGCAGCCGGTAGGTTTGAACCACCAATCTTGCAGTTCAAACTGACCTTGCAGTCAAGCACATTATCCTGCAGCACACCACCAGGACTCCCTGGATTTCATTATGCTTATGTAAATAAGTAGCATATGATCAGAAGTATATCAAGGGTAATGAGTGCACAAGGCAATCTCTAAGTTGTGTGCCCAAGATGCAATTTTAAGATAAGGGCAAGGTGTCAGCAGAAACACCTTCTCCATTTTGATCTGGCTGCCACTAGTAGGCACCGTTCATATTTGTGGCTCTTTCTCATTTGCTGCCCCCTTGTATGTGCTTCGCCCTACCCCTCATCTGGATGTCTTCTGTGATTGAGAAGTTGGAACACAAAGATAATAGAACTGTTTAGTGGCACACTCCAAGCAGAACCCGGGGCATGTGTCACACCTCATACTTTAAATGTGCCTTTGAACATGACACTAAATTTACAAACTTAGTATTTTTTTCTAAGTTTTTAAGAAAATTGATTTCATTGATTCCCAACTCTCCATGGAAAGTCCCACTCAATATCCCATTCCACACAATTCAATGAATCAGATTATGAACACTGCTTTTTTATTCTCTCTCTAGACTTTCTTCCAGGCAGCCTCTACCTCTTTCCAGACCATAGCGTTGGTCCCCTACATCACCATTACTCTGTGGGTTCTCTGCCTCAGGATTCTGTATCCTCCTTTCCTGTGTACTTTCTTGTTTTTTTGGAGTATATCCTCCAGTATCTGTGGATTCTTGCATTTCTTTGGTTCTGGAAAATTCTAAGACATTTTCCCTTCAAATATTTTAATTCTCCCCTTCTCTCTTTCTTTTTAACTGAACTTTAAAATTACAAGTTTACTTCATTTCTTCCACACTGAAAATTCTAATTCCTTAGGACACAGGGGCTGAATAAACTAAAATATCCAATAATTATTCATTTGCTTCAAGGCAACATTATAGTCACAATGTTGTTGTTGTTGTTAAGTGACTTCAAATCCGTTCTGACTCGTGGTGACCCTGTAGAGGGTTTCCAAGGAGTGGCTGATGAGCTTGAACTGCCAACCTTGTGGTTGAAACTAACCTTGCAATCCAGTGCATTAACCCACAGCGCCACACCAGGACTCAATAGGGAATAACAGTATGAATTCTACTATCACCAGACTGTGAGTGAAATAGTTAACAAGTTCTTGCCCAACTTTTATATAAGGTTAATGATTTAAATCTCCCCAGCAGCTCTAGGGGTGACAGACTTAGTGATCTTCTCCCACAAATTTATTTTTTATTATTATTGTGAACTGAGTGAAGGAGCAGATCATCAGTTTTATGTTGAACAAATTATATATTTTGCTTCACTATTGTTGTTGTTAGGTGCCATCTAGACTGTGCCAATTTATAGTGGCCTTATTAGACACAACAGAATGAAACACTGCTGGGTTCTGTGCCAACCTCACAATTGTTGTAACACTTACATCTGTTGCTGCTAAAACTGTACCAATCCATCTCATTGGGGTTCTTCCTCTTTCTCGCTGACTCGACACTTTACCAAACATGGTGTCCTTACCTAGAGACTAGCCCTTCTTGATAATATGTCTGAAGCATGAGAGACAAAGTCTGGCTATCCTGGCTTCTAAGGAGCATCCTGGCTGTACTTCTAACACAGATTTGTTTGTTCATTTGGCAGTGCATGGTACTTTTAATATTCTCCTCCAGCACCATAACTCAAAAGAATCAATTACTCTGCAGTCTTCTTTATTCATCATTTTGCAACTTTCACATGCATATGTTGTTGTTGTGGTGGTTCTTAGGTGCCATCAATTCGGTATCCACTCATAGAGACCCTATGCACAACATAACGAAGCACTGCCTGGTCCTTGCCAACCTCACAATTGTTGCTATGTTTGAACCCATTGCTGCTGCCACTGTGCCAATCCATCTTGTTGGAAGTCTTCCTCTTTTTCCCTGCCACTTTACCAAACATGATACCCTTCTCTAGGGACTGGTCCCTTCTGATAATGTCTTCAGTATGAGAGACAGTCTGGCCATCATGGCTTCCAAGGAGCATTCTGGCTGTACTTTTTCTAACAAAGGTTGTTTGTTTGGCAGCCCATGGTACTCTTAATATACTCCTTCAACACCATAATTTAAATGCATCAATTCTTCTATGGTCTTTATTCACTGTCCAACATTCACATACAGATAAGTATGTGAATTGAAAATACCATTGCTTGCGTGAGGCACACCTTAGTCCTCATACTGACATCTTTGCTATTGAACACTTTAAAGAGGTCTTGTGCAGCTGATTTGCCGAATGTAAACATGCCATTTCATTTCTTCATTCCTGCTTTCATGAATGTTGATGGTTGACCCATACAAAATGAAGTCTTTGACAGTTTCAATCTGTTCTCTGTTTATCTTGATGTTGATGCTGTTTACTGGTCCATTGTTAAGAATTTTTGTTTTCTTTACAAAGAAGTGCAACCCATACTGAAGGCTGTTGTTTTTGATCTTCATCAGTAAGTCCTCTTTGCTTTTAGGAAGTAAGGTTATACCATTTGCATATCGCAGGTTGCTAATGAGGCTTCCTCCAAACCAGATTCTCAGACTGTTTGCTCAGAATCCAGATTGAATAAGTATGGTGCAAGAATACAATGTTTGTATACAAATGGTGCACACACTTCCTAATTTAAAACCATTTGGTTCCCCCTTGTTCTGTTCAAACAACTGCCTTTTGGTCTATGTACAGGTTCCTCATGAGTACAGTTAAGAGTTCCGGAACACTCATTCTCCACAATGTTATCCATAGCTTGTCATGATCCACATAATCGAAAGATTTTGTGTAGTCAATAAAGCACAGGTATTCTCTGCGTCCAGCTAAGATCTATCTGACCTCAGCAATGATATCCCTCATTTTGCTTCCTCTTCTGAATTCGACTTGTATCTCTGGAACTTCTCAGTCAATGTATGGTTACAGCTTTTGAATTATCTTTATCAAAATTTTACTTGCATGCAATATTAATGATATTGTCTGATGATTTTTGCATTCCACTGGGTCACCTCTGTTTGGAATGGGCACAAATATGGATCTATTCCAGTCAGTTGGCCCTCTTCCAGTCAGTTGGCCAGGAAGTTGTCTTCCAAATTTCTTAGTATAGATGAGTGAGTGCCTCCAGTGCTGCATCAGTTTGTTGAAAAATTTCAATCAATTCCCGGAGCCTTGCTCTTTGTCAATATCTTCAATACACCTTGAACTTCTTCCTTCAGGATCATTAGCTCTTGATCATATGCTACCTATTGAAATGGGTGAACATTGACCTTTTCTTTTAGATACAATGACTCTGTGTAGTCCTTTCATCTTCTTTTGATGCTTTCGGTATCATTCTATATTTTGTTCATAGAATCCTTCAATATTGCAAGTGGAGGATTGAATATTTTCTTCATTTCTCTCAGCTTGAGAAATGCTGAGAGTGTTCTTTCCATTTGGTTTTCCTACCCCACGTCTCTGCACATTTTGGTATATTTTACTTTGTCTTTTTGAGCTCACCTTTGAAACTTTTATTCAGTTCTTGTACTTCCTTGGTTTTTCCATATGCTTCAGCATCTCTACACTGTAGAGAAAGATTCAGAGTATCTTCTGACATCTATTTTGGTCTTTTCCTTTCTTGTCTTTTTAGTGACCTTTTGCTTTCTTCCTGGATGATGTTCTTGATGTCATCCCACAGCTGTTCTTGTCTTTCTTTGGTTTTTAGTGTCTAATGCATCAAATCTGTTCTTCAGATGACCTATAAATTCAGGTGGGATATGTTCAAGGTCATATTTGGGCTTCTGTGGACTAGTTTTAATTTTCTTTAGCTTCAGCCTGAAATTGCATATGAGCAATTTGTCTCTTCCACAGTCTGCCCTTGGTATTGCTTTGACTGATAATATGGAGCTTTTCCATTGCCTCTTTCTACAGATGTAGCTAATCTGATTTCTGTGTATTCCATCTGGTGAGGTCCATGTGTATCATTTATGTTGTTAAAAAAAAGGTATTTACAATGAAAAACATCATTTGTCTTGCAAAATTCTATCATATGATCTCCAGAATCATTTATATCATCAAGGTCATACTTTCCAACTACTGATCTTTCTTCTGTGTTTCCAACTTTTACATTCCAGTCACCAGTAATGATCACTACATCTTGATTTAATGCTTGATCAATTTCAGACTGAAGAAGTTAGTAGAATTCTTTAGCTTCATCATCACTGGCTTTAGTGATTGGTGCATAAATTTGAATAATAGTATTAACTGGTCTTCCTTGTAGGATATTATCCTATCACAGACAGCATTGTTCTTCAATAAAGATCTTGATATGTTCTTTTTGATGAAGAATGATAATGTCATTCCTTATCAATTTGTCATTTTCAGCATAGTAAATCACGTGACTGCCAATACTAGTTAATTTCAGCTCAATGGCTAGGATTCGGAAACCCTATGAGTTGGAACCGACATGATGGCACTTAATCACAACAAAAACAACAATGCCTAGGATATCGATATTTATGTGTTCCATTTCATTTTGACAATTTCTAAAGGAGCTCTGGTAGCATAGTGGTTATGAGTCAGGCTGCTAACCTCAAGGACAGTAGTTCAAAATTACCAGTGGTTCCATGGGAGAAAGATGAGCTATAATTCAGGTACCATGAAATATACCCTTTTAAATTGTACAATTCAGTGGATTCTAGCACATTCACAACCATGTGAGATACACACAGTTTGGCCTTTATCTTTAGTTCTTGACAATCCTTAGAATCCAAGTGTCTTTGATAAAGACGGCAGAGCATATCTAACTAACAGGTTAGATGTAGTGATGAGGTGACTTTGTAGTGGGGCTGGTCAGGGGAGAGGGACTGGAGTTTGCATTATATAATTAAAGCTCTAGACACTGTAATCCCATGGGTTTCCTGGTTGGTGAAAGACATCCATGCTTGAAGGAAACTTCAAGTTGGGAATTCTCCCAGACCCATATTATGTTGATGAGTACTGTTGAGTTGATTCTGACCACCTACAAGATTTTCAAGGAGCAACTGATCTGAACCTCCAACCTTGTGGTTAGCCAGCCAGTACTTATCCTATAGCACCACACCACACCACTCCATCTCTTCTTTATGTTGATTTTGATTCTTTGTAATATTACTACCACTGTAAAGATGGCACTTTCCGTGAATTCTGTGAATCATTCCAGTGTATTACCCAAAGGAGTTATAGGAGCCAGCAAGTAAGAAGTTAGGAAGACCAAGGGGTAGTCTCAAGCTTGTGGCTGGCATCCTTAAGGGACAGAAGACAACTGCTGAATCTGGAGTCAGTAGGTCAGAGGTTATGAAGGCCAAGGGGGATCTCCTAAACTTGCTGTTGGTATTTGCCTATTTGGTAGTGTGAAGGGCAGTCCATTTGCCTTGTGAAATCTGACCTAGCTAGTGTGATAGAAATGAAAACACAGGCATTTGGGTTTACACTAATTGTTATCCTAATAGAGTCCTGGTGTGGCACTGTAGGATAAGCACTCCACCATAAGGTCGTTTGAACAACCGTGATTCAAACTCACCTGTCACTCCTCCGAAAACCTATACAGGGTTGCTATGAATTGGAACTGACTCAATGGCTCTTAGCAAAAACAAACCGTCACTACTATCAAATTACAGAACATTTTGTCACCCCAAAAAGAAACCTCAGACCTACTAGCAGTCACTCCTCGTTCCTCTGTTTCAGTCTCTGAAAACCACTAATCTACTTCTTGTTTTTGTGGATTTTCGCTTTCTAGCTCTTTACTTATATATATATTCAACTGCCTCTTTGGCAAGTCCATATGGATATGCCTCAGATATTTTAGACTTAACCAGTATCTTCATCCTATGCCACTTTCCTACAATTATTCAAGCCTCAAAGCTCTGTCATCCTTACCTTTCCCACCCCTGCTCATACATCTATTCAGTTTTATCACTTTCTATTGCTCTGTCATAAATATCTTGATTCTGGTTATCTGCACCAGAACTTGTTTTGGTAAATGCCTCCTACCTTCAGCAGACACACACACACACACACAACAAACAAACAAACAAAAATCACACACACCAATCCATTTGCAATTCTTTTAATTCTACCATCAAAATATATATTAAAATTTCCCATATATTTCTGTCTCTACTTTCATCACTCGAGTCTCTTGCTTCTTTCTTCCCACATACATTCCAGTTTTTTCTAAGCACAAGGGCCAGATGGCCATTTAAAAATATAACTAGATCATGTCATGCTCTGCTTAAACCCCTTGATGATATCTGTATTAGTTTTCTAGGGCTGCCATAACAAATTGCTACAAATGTGATAGCTTAACACAAGAGAAATTTAGTCTCCACAGGTCTAAAATCAAGGTATGGCAGGGCAATACTCCCTCCAAAAGCTCTAGAGCAGACTCCTGTCTCGCTCCACCTATTTTCTGGTTGTTGTTGTTAAGTGCTGTCGAGTTGGTTCTGTCTCGTAAAGACCCTGTATAGAGTTTCTGAGAAGCGGCTGGTGAGTTTGAACTGCCAACCTTGTGGTTCAAAGCAACCTTGCAGTTGAGTGTTTATCCTACATTGCTACACCAGGACTCTTATATAGCACAAGACAGTCTTTAGCTTGTGGTAGTCAATTTCTGTATTTGTCTTCACATGGCCCTCTTCCCTGTCCTCATCTTCTAAGGATACAAGTCATTGGATTTTATGGCCAATCCTAAGTCCAGGATGAGTTCATAATAAGATCCCTAAATAATTATATCCGCTGAAACCCTGTTTCCAAATAAGGTCACCATTCTGAGGTTCTGGGTGAACACTAGTCAACTCATTTCAGCAACTCTTTGCATTTGGAAAAAAAAAAAGTCTAATTTTCATGAGTGCATGAGAAGCTTTTCCTATTTCTTCAGCTCATAGGGTGGCCCTCTTGCTATGGCTGTTAGTGCTTCAGCCACATTAACTTTCCTGTTTTTATAATGGATCAAGTTCTTTATTGATCCCTTCTTAGTTATTTTAGGTCTCAGCTTAAATATCGCCTCCTAAGAAAAGCCTTTCTCAGCATTGTATTTAAAGAAGGTGCCTGTTCTCCTCCATTTGTTTTCTCTTAGGCACCACAAAATAAAATCTACTTTGTTTCTTTGCTTCCTTTCTGTCACTCCCCTCCTGAGACTGAAGGCTCTGTGGAGCCAGAACAGATCTGTTTTGCCACTGATTGGAGGTTTACAAAGGAACCCTGGTGGCACTAATACGTTAGGGTCACTGGCTGTTCCAGTGGACTCTAAGAAGCAGAACTAGTCTGTCATATAGGGTCACTTAGAGCCAGAATCCACTCATGACAGTGAGTTTGGTTTTCAGTTTTGCCCCTTTATAGAGAGGCTCGGGGTACATATTTTTTTCATTGAATGAACATATGAAGGAAGGTCCTTTCCCGAAGTCACACTGTCACCATCTGTCACTCAGGCTACCACAACTGCTGCCTCACTGGCCACCTCGCCCCTCTCATCTCTCTTCCTTGCTTCAGTGGGAGGAATTGCTTTAAAGGGTGTTCGGGATCCCTTTTTGTCCCTCTCAGCTCTAAAGGGTGTTCGGGATCCCTTTTTGTCCCTCTCATCTCTAAAGGGGGTTCGGGATCCTTTTTGTCCCTCAGCTAAAATTCTTTCACTGGGTTCCTCTTGCACTTAACAACGAGAATTTTAAGTGATGGGTTTGCACTCACTACCTACCTCTGACCTCCCATTCTAGAAGTTCAAGTTTGCAATCCTCTCCCAGTTCTTCCCTAGGACTGGGTCCTCTTTCACTTCTGTCCCTGGTGGAGGTCACTCTTCCAACAACGTACTTTGCAGGGTTTACGCTTCATGTTCCCGTCTTCCTTTCCTCAGAAGCTTCCCAGACTCTAAGTCAGGGTGGGAACCTGGTTCTGGCCTCAGCACTCCCCACCGTACTCTGATTTCCAAGCCCACCATCCTAACTAGTTTGAGTTTGGGTTAAGGGAGGGCAGGGACCTAGTAATGTCACTCAGAACTCAGCCGACAGAAGGGAATGGGAAAGGTAGGGCAGGGCAGGGACTCACCAGCGCCGCTGGCTTCGCTGCTCGGCTTCCAGGCGCTCCCTCCACAGCTGGTCCTGTTGCACGCCCTCACCTCCAGGGGTCCCCCGGCCGGCCTTCGGGGCCTGGGGCTCCTGGCGGACGGCAGCAGGAACCCTGCGTGACCCACGACCATCCCTAGCAGCCAAAGAACCTGAAGCAGGTACCTTGGTCGGGGGCAATCGGTACCCCGCCGATGTAGTTCTCTGAAGCCTAAGGGTGGGACGGCTCCCCATGGGTGTATGTTATGTATGTATGTATGTGTGTGTGTGTCTTTTTCCTCCCACACTCCTTCTTTCCTATCCCAGGGAGCTGGTGCAATGACTGATTCTCCTCACTGCCCCCTGTGGGCCCCCAGCTATGAGTGGCCCACAGACTGGGTCCTCAAAGCTGGAGAGAGCTTTTGAGCCCAGCTGTGTTTTGAGCTCCTGCCCATGTTGACTGTCACCCAGGGAACGGGCAGCTCCCAGTGTACCCAGAATGGGCGGGCCCCTTGAGGACTTGGGGTGTGTGTGTGTGTGTGTGTGTGCATTGTGTGTAGCACGTCTGAGCCTCACCGGTTAAGGTGAGCCATGCCCAGCTCAGTAGCCCTTAACCCCTTGTCCCAGGTGCAAAGGGCCACCACAAATTGTGGAGAGGGATTAAAAAGCCAAATCCTCCTCACTCCTGAATTCCTGCACTGACTCACAGGACATTAAGATGTGGCCCAGCCATGCTCATCAATACCCCATGTCCTTGGGCAGCCCCTGCTCCTCTGGGTGCCTCAGTTTTCTCCTACATGGGAAGGAATAATTTCATTTTTTTCCCTTCTGGTGGATGCGTTGAGACTCAGGTGATGATGGCTGTGAGGGTGTTTTGTGAATTATAGGTCAGATTTTAGTGGATGGTTTCTGCATCTATTTTGGAATGATGGAAGAGATTTTTATGAGTAACTGCATTAAGGGAAGGGACATTTGTAATGGTGCATTATTAAAATTTATTTTCTCTGTGTTGTTGTTAAGCGTTGTCGAGTTGGTTCTAACTCATTGTGACACTGTATAGGGTTTCTAAGGAGTGATGGCCAGTTTGAACTGCTGACCTTGTAGTTCAAACTGACCTTGTAGTCCAGTGCTTTAATCCACAGTGCCATGCCAGGACTCCATTTTCTCTGTAAACCTGGAGAAATTGCAAATCACTTTCTTTTATCTTTTGAACACTTCCAGTCATCCAAGGCAGGCATTTCCAACCCTGTTGTATAAAGAATAAACTAAGGCCCCACAAGATTAAGTGATTGCCCAAGGTCACAGAATAGCTAAGTATAGAGCTTGTCCTGGAGTTTAAAGCTTCTTGAGGAACCAGTGAGCATTTCTGCTCTTGGGTGCCCAAGGCCTCTTGAGGTCTGGCTATAGCTGACCATCTCAGACACCCTTTCATCATTTCTGCCCCCAGGTACTCTGTACTTTTGGTTCTCTTAGTTTCTTGCTAATGCATTCAGCTTTAGAACAAATTCACAGTTTTACTATAAAACTGGTCTCTGAGCACAATGGTTCCTACTCTTTGTAGAGCTGGAGAAACAGACGCAAGAAGAACTAAATTAGACAAAGTCAGGCAAAATAGAGTTATAAGCAAGAAGAAGGGTGTTGTTGTTGTTGTTAAGTGCCATTGAGTCCTTCCTGCTGTCCCTGGACAAGGAGACAATCCAAGATCCTAAGTACAACCTTGTGGTTAGTACTCCAGTGCTTATCCTACAGTGTCACATGATGTGTATTGTTGTTGTTAAGTGCTGTCAAGTTGGTTCTGCCTCATAGCAACCCTGTATAGGATTTCTGAGGAGTGGCTGGGGATCTTGTGGTTCAAACTGACCTTGCTATCTAGTGTACTATCTGACAGCTCCACACCAGGACTCCATGATATGTATTGCTGCTGTAGTTGTTAAGTGCCCTTGAGTATAGAGCCTGAATAGTTCCATGGAGGTTGACATTTGAGCATTAATGTTTAACTTAATTTAAAAAACATTCAAGATACCAGAGGGATTGGAAGATATACTTAATAAGGTAAATACTACATTGTTGTTGTTAAGTGCTGTCGAATCGATTCTGACCTATAGCGACCCTGTATAGGGTTTCCGAGGAGGAGCTGGTGAGCTTGAACAGCCAACGTTGCATTTCAAACGACTTTACAGTCTGGCGCATTAACCCACAGCACCACACCAAGACTCCATAGCAGGATATTAATCTCAGAATCTGGGTAGTGAGTATAGAGGTGTTCCCATTTTTCTGTAGACTTAAAACGTTTCAAAAGAAATGTGGGGCAGGGCTGGGGGGTAGGTTTTAGCTGTCAGTGCGGACTGAACACATTCTCTTTTTGCATGTCAGTGCCCCAGAAAAAGCTTCACAATGTGCCCTTTGAACAACCCAGTCTGGGATGACGCTCCTGTACCTTTATGTGGGACTTAACCTGAGAAACAAGCCACTCAGATTCCAACTCCTGCTTGGATTGCGATTTGCTGTGTGGTGTCCCAGAGTACATTATTGCCCCTTACACACGCTACATTTTGTGATCAAACTCTCTTAGATTTTCTAGGCGAGGCTAAGAAACCCTGGATAGGGGCAGGTTGTGTGTGTGTCCCTGGGCTTGCATTTTAATGAGTTTTTCTTGGCCACAGAGTTTAATGCGTTTTTCTTGGCTTGGCCACATGGAGTTTAGGACCTTAACTCAGATGCTGGCAGAGTGGCCCCAGCCTGGCCTGCACAGATAGGCAATGAGAGCATCAGCCGCTTCCAGTCTAGGTGCCAGTGGAACCTACCTGCAGAGTGGTAAGGTTCTGCCCGAGTTAGTTGCAAGCAGGCTGGCTAGAAGAATTCTGGACCCATCTTTAGACTTAGATCCATTCTGAACTGGCTGACTTCCCCAAACTGGGTATTGGGCAGATGAGCCAGAGAGCTTCAGAGCTGATGTGAAGATCTGGGCAAGAGACTGGAGATTGCTGAAAGGCGTCATCAATGGGAGACAAGGGTCTGGATTAGAAGTGGAGGGAGAAGGCTTCTGGAGCATGGGAAATGTTTGCCTGCAGATTGTAAGTGCTCTTCTCCTCCCTCAAACCTCCATTTCTGAGATAAAGATTTAGGTTTAACCTCACCCTTTTTCCCCTGCATGTATACACCTCGACTGCTTGATAAAAAGTGGTGAAAGTCATAAAAAGGGTTCAGTACTGCCCTTGATTCCTTTTCAGCTTCTCTACCCAGTCTCAAAAAATTCCACCAACACAGACTGGATTGCTACTTTGTCATTTTATTTCTGCTAGAGCAGATTTTGTCTAAACTTACCCTGCCTGCAGATGCTCATTAACATCTTGCCATGCTTCTGGTCATGGATTTAATTATGTCGTTGGTTAGGTTCAAACCCAGAAGGAAAAGTCCTTCCGCGTATGTGGTTTCCAAGAGACCAAATAACTGACCAGTAGTTATTCTGAGAGACATTAGTTACTCTGAGAGAGAAGAAATGAAAAGATGCTTTACAAACAGGGAAATTCACTAACTGGGATAAGAACTGCAGCTGTTTCCAGTGGCTGAGGCTGGACAGTCAAGATTTTCCTGGGGTGGGAGGTGTGGAAGTGAGGAGTGTTGTGGGTCCAAACTTTTAAGCTATGTGGTAAACAAACCTTATATTCTAGGGGGAAAAAGGGAGGTGGCATGAGCAGATTCTCAGGGAAAACCAGAAAAACAGCACAGCATCAGCTACCTGCTGTTCCCTAGTAGATAAGTAGCTAATCCATGGGAACAGAGTTTCAGCTTGCAGGGTCAGGTATATACGCTAGAAGGGGAGAGGGGTGGATGGCAGGGCATTTCACTTGGGTTACATTAATGTGACCATTTTGGAGCATTCAGCCTTTGTCCCTGCAGTTACCCACAAATATGTGTCAACATGTCTGGGTCATGATCCTAAGTGGTTTGGCAGTTATGTAATGTGGCTTCAATGAAGTAATCACTTCCTGTGATTTGATCAGTCCTGATCTCATGTAATGATCCCACGCATTGCAAATCCTCACTTCTATGTATTAATAAGACTGTCTGCCTCATTAATATTAAGTTGTATTTTATGTCAATCTCTTTCTCTTTTTTTAAATTTAAATGTTTTTATTTAGCATGTCAATGTTATCCTGGTAATAAATTGATGTAGTTATCCAAAAACATTGGGTCCTTTCCAAGAGAAATGCTTCTGGGTGTATATACCAAGTATATGTAGAACAGGCTGACTATAATTTGTAACTCAAAATGTGGCATCATCAAAATTTTTGAAGTATGCAGTATTTTTCATTGTAAAATCAGATCATTTGAGTTTATAAAGGTTTCAGTGGCCATTTCAGTTCCTGCAAGTTACCAAATCTAACAACAGAGAACAGACGGCTTAAAAATCACCTGATTCAGGTTCCTAATTGTCCAGATGAAGGATCCACTAGCTTTGCAAGGATCACAAAGCCAGTGAGAGAACCTGGGTTACAAATCACTCGTAAGGTGTTCCACAAACATGTTGGGTTAAATAAGGCAAAACGATTGCACAGAATTGTAATTCATATTTGAAAAGATCTTGTTTCTTTTTCTGCTTCAACAAGTGGTTGATTCCTGATGTGCTGTTTTCTGTAATTCACAAAGTTAGTGACTCAATGGCTTTGGAAACAAAAATCAGTCTCATAGTTTCAGCTTATCACTGAACACTGAGTCTTAGTGCTGTTTGTACTTCTTTTCCCCCAGGATGCTGAGACCTGGGCAAGTTTTCTTCCTGGTCTATACTCAGAATGGATCTACATTCAGAGTGTCTCTTGTTTGAAATTCAACATCAGCGGAAGACATTAATACATTATTGATACCTACAAAAAACATCAACATTTGAGTTCATTTCTCTTTGGAGTTCATTCCAGTCAGTCACCACTTCTGCTGTTTATCTGAGCAGTCACTGGTTCCAACAGCTTCTGCAGAGCAATTGTGGATTATATAGGGTAAGTTACATTTAGACTCCTCAGATTTTCTTCAGCATTTAACGAATTCTTTGTTTTCTTTGTTGATGTAAAGGGCTGAGACTGTTTCTCCACACATAAACTGATCTTTGTAATAAATCACTTTTTAAAATGTCTTATTGTGAATTATATGGTAGTTTACATGAGAGAACTTTAGTTTTACATTCATTCTATCATATATTGTTTCATTGCCATGGTTCCAATCACCTCCATGCATTATCAACTGACCAAAGGGTATACCCT